ACACTCCCGAGCTAATAGGCCCAGTGAAACGTCACAAATACTTTACAAATACACTGCAAAAATAATAAATGCATCCCGTTTCCACTGGGTATTTAAGTTAACTAAGTTAACCGGGCGACGGCAATGAACGATCGTCCGAAACCTCGCTCCGGCCAAACTGCTGACACAGCGTCTGGCCGGAAGCTCGTGCATAGCCGGCAAGCACTGCCCATTGGAATGGCCGCTATGAGTCTCTTTCTTTGTTAGCCTTAAGTTCAGTTCTGATTTAAATTCAATAAAGAGCACATCGCTCATAAAACAAACTCCGGCAACCGCCGTTAAAAAATGTATCATTTGAACACTGACTGAGTCTCTAGGCCAGCAGTGAACGGAGGGCCTACCCTCCCAACATAATCTTCCTAAATCATATTTTGGGAAATCTTAGGCCAGCCTGCTAAGAGCCAGCAGCCAACAACCAACAACCAACAACCAGCAGCCTGCAGCCAGCAGTCAGCAGCTAACAAACAACAACCAGCAACCTAAAAGCAGATGTGGACCTGACGTCTACCTACACCGAGAGGACAGGAGAAGCTACCGTTCATCTCACTAATATTCTAGTTTATATAATTTTAATATTGATTTCCAGAATCATTTACCGATTTTTTTTTGCGAGTTTAGCTGCACAAATCGACTAAATAAAAGAATGCATTATTCCAGTTCCATAGTTCCAAGCCATCGAGCAGCGAGAGGCTTCGAAAAGTTCCATCTGATGTATTGTTTTTATTCCTCCTGTCGGGATCTCGTTTCCACCGTTCCAGCGAAGTCGTGCTCGGTCTAAAAAACAAATAGTTCAGCTCTTTGGCATTCTAGTGCAGGTGCTAACAAACCATCGCCTACTCCAAAATCAAAATTGAAAGTTTCAGATCGCTAGCTTTTTAGCGGAGCTCGCAAACGGTAGTGAAACAGATAGACAGCCGGATCTAGCTATATCGACTCGTCTAATGATCCTGATCAAGTACATATATAATTTACGGGGTCTGAAACGTCTCCTTCACTGCGTTACAAAACTTCAATACCCTCTGCAAGGGTATAATAATAAAAAAGAAAAAGTTAACACTTGAATGACGTCGGAACAAGCGTTACTTGCTACAGCACGCGTTCAATTTAAATTTTTTAATGGAGTTTTAAAACAATGGTTCACAAAGCATACAAGTTCGGAAAAATATATTTTAAGATTACCGAAAAATCGATACCAAGTGGAGATTAGTGTAGTGTCTTCTACAGGGTAATGCCTATCAAGGCACAAGGTAAAGCTTTCAGTGACAAGTAAAAATTCTCAGAAAGTTTTAAAAATGGAAGCACTTGTTCTTCCAACTATAATGGGGACTCTTGCAGTTAACGCAGTTAATATTGACAAATCAAGGTGGAAGAATTATAAGTTGGCTGATTCCGAGCTTAATAAGCCGGGGAATGTAGATCTGATTATTGGGACAGGCTTATAAGCTCACATTCTGCATATTGGAGTGGATAAAGTAGATGGCCCCATAAAACAGATTTTGGGTGGATTGTCTCGGGAGGTAATAATCGACAATTTTAGCAATCCGTATATTATAAATAATAAAAGTGCCAAAAGTAGCAGGCTCAAAGCAGAGTTTGTGAACTAAATTGGCTGTGAAGTAATGTCAACGATTTGGCATGTGAGTGACGACATCTCAAGCCAGGTAGACCAGCGAATATTAGATTTGTAGAAAGACAGATTTTTAATTAGCATTACTTTTGTCAAAAGCAATACTTTTTTGTTCATTAGCACATTTTTAAAAAGTAATGTATTGTTTTTTTTTTCAATTGCATTACTTTTTTAAAAAGTAATGAATTGTTTTTTTTATTAGCATTACTTTTTTCAAAAATAAAGAATTGTTTTTTCAGTAGCATTACCTTTGTCAAAATCAATGGATTGACTTTTCAGTGTACTTAATTATTTAGCACTACTAATAGTTTATTTAGTATTATTATTTAGTAGTATTTTGCGAAACTTGTGAAGAAACTATTTCGAAAGCACGACGACGAAAAGAAGTGGTAACGATGACGTTCGGCTGATCACTATCTTTAATATTTCAATAATTTCTCTTAGAACCTAACTTATGCTACGACGAGATACGGGGCGAATCCGCAAGAGCGAACGGACGAAAGCTTTATTGGCTCCCGCTCTCGCCCTACAACTAGTGATTTCAAATACAAGCGCCAAGTGCGCAAACATTAACGATAATGATAAAGTAATTCAATGTTTAATTACAGAATTCTGGTCAACGTCAATTTTCATTACAAATTCGATAAATTAAAAAAAAAAACTTTGAGGACAAGGTATAATTTCCGTTAAGAAAGTCCTAAATACCTTTAAAATGGTTAAAAAAAAGGAAACGAATCGATCAGAGATTGAACATAATATACCGATGTTTAACCATCAGGACTACGGACGGGCTTTATAATAATCTTTGTGTTCTTTCAACGGGTTTGTAATTTGTAATTTGACGAAAAAGTTGGAAGCGCACGCACACATATACACATCGAAAAAATAGAAATATTAATAAAATATATCTCCCTTCTACCGCTCTCTCATTAAACTTCAAACAAAACAAAATATATTTTTGTATGGGTTGTCGCATCTATGTATTGTATAATCTTTGCTTTAAAAAAATCAAAAGGTTATGTAAGCTTATCTTTGCATCAAAAGGTTACGGTTTTAAAACTATATTTTTCTAAGTTTAAATCTTAACTTTTGTCTTAATTAATATAGTTAGGTAAGGTATGTTTGTTTGTGCGCTAGACTTAAAACCATATTTAACACGCTTCTCCTTGAAGTCGATAGTTAACATTGTAATTTCGCTATGAAAATATTCGTGAATATTCTAATAATACTTATTTTAATACTTTCTCATCTTTGTTTCTTGGTATTAATTCTCTAGTTAATACATCTTGTTCTGTGTTTACAATTACATTTTGGTCATTACATTTTTATTCGCTTAAAATTTGGTTAATTTGTTATGAACTGTTATTTAAAAGCTCATTTCCAATTTAATTTATATTATGTTTGCGTTGTTCGATGGCTTAACTGTATTTTGATTTGAACACTGAAATTTTGAGTTACTCAGCCTTGTGAAATCAGTTACTAATCCTGACCTTATCTAATCAGTAAATCGTTTGATTATTCCCTTGTTCGACAGTATGCAGCAATATGAGCGAAAGCCGGTCTGTTCATTAATAATAGCCGGAATCCTTCTTTGAAACTCAAAGATCTTTTACCCTTATTACTTGACTTATTTTTGTCTGGTTTTTCAAGTATTGAAAATCAATCAAATCTGGTTCGCAAAGAGCGTCCGAGAAAAATTTCAGTTTAAAACATGCTTTAATTTTTGCAAAACTGATTTTAAATCGTAAATGTGTTCCGACATATCTTTACAAGATACCGTTATATCATCTAATTACAACACAAAAAATGGAATACCTCCCAATAAACTTTCCATTGTTTTTTGGAACATAGCAGGTGCAAGCTTAACCCTAAAAGGTAATTAATGTTATATATGTGTTGACCAAGTTCATAAAAGTTGTGATTTTTCATTAAGAATTATTATATGCATTAGACAAATCTAGCTTTGAAGTGAAGCAAAGATTTCGTCAATCAAGGAAGGGAATAATTAAAGTCTGATAAATATTTATTTAACGTAACTTTATAAGATTCTGAGTCCCCACTTGGTTGTAGTATCGGCACATGTTGTGTACACCATTCGCCATCAATTGCAATTAAATTTCTTAAATTACTTTCAATTTTATCTCTCCTCGCTAGTGGAACTAGACGCGGCTTGAAAAATGTTGGTTTGGCATTGCTATCAACAGGTAATAATATTTTTGCTATTTTATAATCACCAAGATTATTCTCAAATAATTCTAAAAATTCGTTTTAATTTTGCTCAGTAATTATACTTGATTGATCAGATAACAATAATTGAATTAACTTAAAAGTTCGAAACTAAATTCCCTCAAAAAATCACTTCCAAACAAAGGAGTATAGTTGTTATTCGTGCCCATTAGTTTGACTTTTTTCTTGGTATATATTGCAAACTGCACGGAGTACCTCAGTCACAAACTACATTAATAGATACTTCATTCATTTTTATAGACACTGTGTATAGATCAGTTCAGCTGTTTGATTTGTTTTGCGTGACAATGTAAAAATAATATTTGTAAGAATCATCTAAACTATAAGAATCAGATTTACAGCTTTTCCTATCTTTCCACATATGGAAGCCAAATGTCCAATTTTCCAACAGTATTGGTTCGCTTATATTGGCAGTCAATTAATCGGTGATATCGCCATCTGCAGTGTAAGCAAGCTCCAGTTCTACTAGGACGAGTATTCGGTTTCTTTTGTTCCTTCTGGTCATAATTGTAATACTTGTGCTGAGTTCCTGTTCTGCATATTGCCCTTAAAATAATTTACTTGTGTTTTACTGTTAAGTTTCCGTCAAATGTGTTTCATTTCTTAACGAACGGCATCATCGATTTTTAGTTTTTCAACTTCCTCACAAGTTCGTTCGAAAATGTTGCTGTTGACGCCCATTACAAATCGATCCAGAACAAATGCCGATAAATAATCTTCAAACATCGCGAGTTTTTTTCTCTTGCATGCCATTCTGATACAGTTTACGCTTACCGAAGAATATTGTCGGTGGCTTAACGCCAAACTATATTTCTATCAAAACGTTACGGTTGTAAGCTTATTAGGTAGGCATTAGTGTACGTTATAAAGTCAAGCTTTTGGTTTAAGTATAAGAATAAGCAATATTGTTTGCGCACTAAGTTTAAAACAATGTGGCTAAAGTTACGGGGAATATAAATATGAGAGGATTACCCAACAAAAGAGTTAGGGAAAATAATGTTTCTTATATCGTTAAATATTAAAAGTAAATTTTCCTTAAAAATATGTCCAACTGGACTCCACTACTATGTTTTACCCTTACACTTACCTTATTGTATATATTAATGGTTTTATAAGGATTTACAGCTATAAGTATTGAGCCAGTATAAGTCTATGATTTTTTCTGGTATAGGAAACCAATCTGAATTGTTTGTCTGCGTTTTTAAGAGAGCTTTTGCCACAAAATTAGTGTTCTAAATTAACGTATACTTTTTAATACTTTATTTTTACATTTAGACTGTTTACATAAGTTCCAGTACTGTTGAGTCTTGTTTTACGATACCGCGCAATTAAGGATTTGGTTAATTTATTTTCTACCTGCCAGTCTGGGGAAGTCTTTTAGTTCAACATGACCACCACCACATTATTAATCTATTTCACTCGTCGTTCTCTTCAAGGTCGGTGTGAGAAGCGTGATTCGCGATATCGGAAACCTCTCCTACTATCTCTTTAAGAAAATAGAGTCCGGCATCTTCTAGATATGGTACGAATACGACACCAAGAATGATTTTTTATGCGCTTATGCTAAATAATTACATCCATTTGCATTTTGTAGAAAAAATAATCGTCAATATTTTGCTGTAACCATTACTCGTGTGATCAAATGGTGACAAATAAAAATACTCAATATAAGTGTAAAATTTAATAAAGATATCTTCATAAAACATATTTAAAGTTAATGTTCAAGAACAATACACAGTTCTTCAAAATGTAAGAAAATGCAACTGCAATCCCCTAATATGCTTAAGTGCTAACTTTAAATTTTCGCATATATTAAAATTTTTTTTGGGGACTAACAGTTTATAGCCGAAATAAGTATATTGTTTCGGTATAGGTTTTGCGAAACTCAATCGAATTTCATTAAGCTGGGGTCAATAAGAAGTAAGTTCTGGTTAACAGATTTCGGTTTCCGCATAGTACGGAGCCATATATCTAAATTGGATTAAAGACCGCATTGTACCACAGTACTTTGTACTTGAGTTTATTAACGGGCGTTTATTATCCAGTGTAGGTAGACCTCTAGTTTTAAAAATCAGTAGATTTCTTTTAGCTTCAATATTCTTACGCCAAGCAGTCTGTCCAGGTGAACTCCAAGGTATGTTACTTCAGTTGCTTTTGGAATGTTGATGTTATTTAATGATAGTAAGGGAAAATAGAAAATTTAGGGTAAAAGTGACATGTTTGCACTTTTGCTCGTTTACATGTATGAGCCAATCGGCTAGCCATTTTTCCATTAGCGAGATGAGCTTATAAGGTCTGCGTTGCTATTGCAGGCCACTTAGATCCACTTAGAATGGCATCATCATCAGCAAACGGTTTACGGTACGATCATAAAGAACGCTATTTTAGGGAACTCCAGCTTGAATTGGATGATATTCAGAAAGAACACCTTTGCATCGTACTGCAAAACATATTTCCTGCAGATATGACGCCAATATATGAATTAGGCCGTCCAACCAAACGCTGCCGAAAGCCTGGGCGACATACAAAAACAAAGCGGAGCAATAATATCATCGTGTAAATGCATTTCGTACTTCAGAGGTTATCCGGTTTACATGTTCAATGATGCCGTGTTTTTGTGAAGGCCATATTGGTGCAATGGGATGGCATTATGGGTCTGAAAGTGCGGCTTAATACGATTCTGGAGCTACTTTTAAAATATCTTCTATAGACACGGCAGGAGGCTGATTGGTCTTTAAGACGATGGTTGGGACTTGTCATTTCCGGCTCTGTGGATCATTGTGATGACAGACTTCCTCCATTACTGAGTATAATAGCCCAATTTCATCATGCTGTTACATATTATAATGAGAAAATATACTGAACTGATTATTGTTGAATTAAGAGCTCCAAAAGAAGATTTTGCGTACACATAAAACTCCTCCAGCGTTTGCTGCTTTGCAACCATAAAGCAATAGGGCGCTAATTTCAGGACCTTGGTTCGATGTCTGTTGCTGCGTTATTCCTGCAGTGGCTTGCGAAGGTGTCGGCTTAGGCCCTGAGGCATGTGAGACAGGGCACCCTATGTAGTTGGCAGTGTGGTTTTCCCCACAGTTGCTAAATTTTTTGGCAGAAAAGTCCTCCTTAAGTGCAGGGTGCAGTACGGTCTCGTATGCCTACATTCCTGACAATTCGTGCACTGGACGGAACCGTTCCGTTTGTGAGGTTCCTCAATGGTGATTCCGCAGTGCAATAGGTATTGAAGTTTGTAAACTGGGGTGAACTTCATTTTTTTCAAGTGCATATTTACAGGCTCCAGTTATACTTTGAACATTGTCTGGGGAATTTTATTTCTATTTATTATATTCATGGTCAGTTTGACGTCAAAGCCCTTTTCTTTAAGTCCCGCTTTTATCTCATCGATCGAAACTGTTGATTAGATTCCTTTCATTACCACTTGTAGTCCTTTGCTTCTTTTCAGTTGGTAGGTGTAGTAATTTATTTTTCGTTGTTCGAGAATTTAGCCACTGTTCGATGGTACTGTTTATCATTTACTTGAACCTTGGTTTTATTTAATGGAAGTGACGTAAAATTTATGTTCGTCAATTTGATCAGTTACTTTTTAAACAAATTCTGCACAATTTGCCTGGCGAATATATAGGGGTGGCGGCCTTAATCGTCATCGTCGTTTGGCTCACTAAGAATCGAGTACCTATTTTTTGTCAGCGTTTTACTTGGAGTAGTTATTTAAGTAGTTCTGTTTACTTTTGATGAATTATTTTTCTTCTTCGATTGTGGGCTTAGTTTCCTTTTCAACTTCACATAGCGATTGATTCAAGTTTGTAATACCGCTCCGTTTGCCCTTTTATCCATCCTTTGTTTGAGTGGGTTGGAGCTTGTCAGTAAGAACTGACGTTACCGGACGCGGTGTTATTCCAGTTGACGTGGTTGCATTGGGCACGGCTCATTTTGTATTTTGCCGCTTGGGCACAATAACGCTGGAGAGAGTGATTTAGCACGCTCAGTGTCCGCTTTCAGTGTTGCAGATTTTTTGGTGCTTGTAACTCATTCGCTCTTATAGAGAAGTAAGCGTTATTTCTGATTGACGAGAACCGACGTTCGTCTTGTTGGTGAGCGTTGCTCATTTTTTTTAACTTTGCTTTTAGACCTTGCACTGTTACACGTCGTCTCTTTTTTTTTACACTATCATTTAACTATTTTTTATTGAAAAATTTCAAAATTATCATTATATTATAGTACTCTAATTATATTTTTAATCACACGGCAGAGCGTTACAAAATGCGCCCGATGTTATTGAGTGTTTTAAGTTAATCCAAACGAAAGATGACGGCAGCAAATCTGGCAGGAAAAAGGCACGTTTAGTATCGAAGGACTACGCACAAAAGCCAGGATAGGATTTTTTTGAGACCTATTCACTTGTGGGTTTACATCAGTCCGACTTTTGGCAGAACTCTCTGCAGAGTAAAACATGGAGGTTCATCAAATGGACGTAGTTACGGCGTACCTGAATGGTGAGCTTGAAGAAAAAGTATTCAGGGAAATCCCAGACGATTTAATAAAGCAGTCTTTATATGGACTCCGTCAATCAGGACTACGTTGGTACTGCTAGCTCACAGCAAACTTAAAAGAAATCGATCTCCACCTGACCAAACAAGACAAATGCTTGTTTGAAAAATAAGAGAAAGGAAAACTTTTGCTGGTTAAGATTTACGTTGATGATTTGTTTTTGCCATCAAATCATCCATTATGACTGCGTGAGACATAGGAACATTTATCGAAAGCATTGTGAGGAGTTGAATAACTCCCCACAAGTTAAGAAGCAAGCAGAGTAAGGGCATGCAAGCAGTGGCCTACCAGTTACCAGTTACGCGGCGAATTCGCCCGTAGTAACGGAAGTGCGGCGAGAGAGAGTGGTGCACTGAGCACCAGACAAAGCCAAGGAGAGGCCTTTATAAACCGGCCGATCAAGTGAACCAGTAACCAGTGAAACAACGTGAAGATCAAGTAGAGCCGTGAGGAGTCATCAAGGAACAAGATCGCTTCGTCGAGACGTTCGTGACTTAGAATTAAAGTCTCCGAATTGAGACACAGGTAGCTGAGGTCCTTACGGCATCACATGGCTAAGTCCAGGCGCTTTAACACAACTTCTGTCGCGATTTGAGCTTGGCATCTCACCCGGCGAGTCCGACAGAGTTGAACAAACAGAGTCCTTCGACGAGGAACAGTGGATTCAGAAGGAAAGTGGCCTAGAACTAGCTACCTGTCTACAAGGACTGCATTGGCGAACTCCGGCGTATGCCTGATCGTCCTGCAGGAAGTGTACAAGGTCCTGGTGCGACTAACCCGGAAGGACGCGCGTTTGTTCAGCTAGTGTCTGGAAAGGCGTATGCGTTGAGAGCACAGCCGCACAACCGCTAGAGTACCAGAACGGCAGCTTACCAAATCCTGAGCGCTACGCCAACAAGAAGCGGAGCCAGTCGAGACATCCAGAGGCAGAGCAAGGACAACGAGGACACACAGGACGACGAATATAAATACGTCGGATTCTAAAGTCTGCGACAGAGAGGGTAGGGTGGAAGCGTTCGTCTAGAACCTGGCGTTTGACCCAGGGACTCCGCTGGCGGCTTCCGGCTTACGTCTGAACCGTCAGATAGGAACTGAGCCGACGTCTGGTGCGACCGGCCGGGACATAGCAAGGGACAGGAGGCTGCGGCTGCGAAAGGCGTACGCCTTGAGAGCACAGTGTCTGTTCACCCTAGTCTGGGAACGGTGACGCATCCCTAGTCCCTGTAAACCCGCCGATCCAAGGGTGGCAGAAGACAACAGTCCAGGGTTGGACTGACTTGAGAAATTAATAAAGTCTTTGTTTATCTGTTTATTTATTTTATTATGCATTGTTTTGTACTCAGTTTGACTTAAAATTTGTGTCAAATAATAGTATAAATAATAAGTGAGTAAATTATAAATAGTAAGAGAGTAAAAGAGAGTAAATTATGATAGGAACGCAATGGCTTTACAAATGTGCGACTCATTGGAGCACTCAAAGGACAATATATGCTAAAGTTCATTGTAGCTATAGCATAGGATTCGGAAGAGATCAAAATGGACGGAACCGGTCATTTTTTCTGAAAGGAATATTCCAATTGAGTG